GATGCACCTGTATATATATATATATATATATATATATATATCTCAAAGATGTGTTCTTTTTCTGTTTCTCAAAGAACCGGTGAGACTGAAGGAGCCAATCAGCTGCTGTCACTCTATAAACTTGACCAATACATTTCCTTCAAGGAGATCTATCCCGGTTCAAAGGTCACTCATTTTAAAAGGTACAGACTTTGGCTGGTAATCAGTAAACCCCTAGTAGCCACCCAAAACACTCTAGCAACCACAAAGCAATACTACAAAACAATGTGAACAACATAACATTGTAACTCTATAGTGCAACCAACATAACATTCAAGAAACATTCCCAGTTTCTTTAGAATATGTAAAACTAATTAGAATATATACATTACCGGTCAAAATTTGGATTATGTTTTTTTTTTTTTATTAAAACATTTTTTATTATTGTCCATTTTGAAAACAGTTTTTGCACAAGACTTAAAACAAAAGAAATCAATATGTTTATTCTACAAGGACACTTTAATTGATCAAAAGTGACAGTAAAGACATTAATAATGTTACAGAAAATTTGTTTCAAACATGTAATAGAACTTTCTATTCTTCAATAAATCCTGAAAAAACAATTAGCACAGTTTCCATAAAAATATTAAGCAGCTAAACTGTTGATAATAATAATAAATGTTTCTTGAGCAGAAAATCAGCATGTTAGAATTATTAGAATGATAGAGGGATCATGTGACACTGAAGCCTGGAGTAATGATGCTGAAAATTCAGCTTCACATCACGGGAATGAATTATAGTTTAACAAATATTCAAATAGAAAACAGTTATTTTAAATTGTAATAATATTTCACAATATTACTGTATTTTTAATCGAATAAATGTAGCCGTGGAGAGTATAAAAACCTTTCAAAAACACAATTGAGTGTGTTAATTTCACAGTTCTATTCTAAATCAAAGTGGCATAATAGTGCGTGCGTCTGTCTTTGCATGCGGCGTCTCGCTCACAAGTGTGCGTGTCTACAGTACCTCAGACCGTCTGACTGTTGTTCTGTCTCCAGGCTGAAAGCTGACAGTGGCGTCCAGTATTCTGACATGATGTTCTTTGATGATGAGGATAGGAACATCTTGGAGGTTGGCAGGCTGGGTAAGTCTCTGCTTACTCTCCTCCGCAAACCTTTAGAGCTGCTTCAGAGATCTGGAACTGTACGGTGAAAGTTGGAGACATCCGGTTGAATCAGCTGCTGTTTCCCGCTCTTTTAGGTGTTCACTGTGTGATGGTTCATAATGCCATCACCTGGGATCTAGTCAAGAAAGCGCTTGAGCAGTTCAGCAAGAAGCAGTGAAGGCGTCTGGTCCTGTGGAGATGCAGCTGCTGCAAATGAAGAAGAACCCATTTGCTGTGCAGAAAAACTGACATGCATAGAGGACAGGGAGGGTCATGTTTAGTGGTTATTTCTGTGCGATCAACCGTTTTTAACTTGACTGACAAAAGCAATTGGCGTATACTTATAATTCTGTTTTAATGTTTAAATTGTTTATTATTTAGCTCCATTTTAAAACATTAAATGAAGTTTTTTTTTTTTTTGGTAATTTGAGATGCAATTTATTTATATTTTATTTGTCAGTGTATACATTAATAATTCGTTCCTTTATTTAAGTGACCCACCTAGCCTTCCAAAGAAATACACCTTTGCTTGTTTTTATCTAATAAAGACTTTTATGTTAAATGGAACTAAACACAGCAAACTGTAAAACAAAAAGGCCAGTGTTTTTATTGTTACTGTATGTGACAGATTTTCTGTACAGAGACTACAATAGAAAAATAGTTAAATATTTATTACATTTATAAAACACGTGTCTTCCATTTTTTGTTGGTCTCTTTTTAAAATGTAATTTTCTCTCTTATTTGACTCTCTAATTGAATTCATTTCCCCACACAAAAATACAATTTTTTTTATATAAAAGTAAACATTGTAGTTTTAATTGATAGCTTTATATATACTGTACCATATTAAAATAGATTTGTCATGCTGTACTTGTTTAATTATTTTATTTTTAGAGTACTGAAATATTTGTCCATTTATACCAAAGTTTGGGGTTAGTAAGTTTTTTTTTTTTTAAGAAATTGATACTTTTATTCAGCAAGAAATCATTAAATTGATTATACGTGGCAATAAGACATTTATAATGTTACAAAAAAACTTATATTTCAAATAAATTCAGTTCTTATGATTTTTTCATCAAAGAATCCTCAAGTATCAGTTTCCATAAAAACATTAGCTGAACTGTTGATAATAATAAGAAATGTTTCTTGAGCACCAAATCAGCTTATTAGAATGATTTCTGAAGACTGGAGTAATGATGCTGAAAATTCAGCTTTACATCACAGGAATAAATAGCATTTTAAAATATATTCAAACAGAAAACTGATTTTAAATTGTAATATTTCACGATATTGATGTTTACACAATAATGATGTTCACTGTATTTTTAACCAAATAAATGCAACCTCAGTGACAGTGTTGCCAAGTCTGCGGTTTTACCGTCAAGTCAAGTCTGCTTTATTGTCAATTCTTCCACATGTACAGCACATACACACAGAGAATTGAAACTGCGTTACTTTCAGACCCTTGGTGCATACAGATAACACTAACAGTAGAACATAAATACAGATAGATACAGATTAAATATAAAAATACAACTATACAAATATACAAATAAGGTAAAATGTAAAAAAATATATAAAGCAGCACAAGGCACATGACAGATAGAGTGCAAACCAGTGAAGTAAACAACAGTGCAGATATAATGATTGTAGTGCAAAAGAGCTTATTCAGACTGATTAAAGTGACAGTGTGTGTGTGTATTTGGGAGGGGGGGAGTGGGAGAGTCCATCAGAGGGTCAGAGTTCAGTGGTGCGTGGGGCAAAAGAGGGGAGAGGGGGGCAAGGTCGGGAGGGAGTTCAGCTTCCTGACAGCCTGATGGATGAAGCTGTCCTTCAGTCTGCTGGTCCTGGCCTGGAGACTCCGCAGTCTCCTCCCTGATGGCAGCAGACTGAAGAAGCTGTGTGTCGGGTGGGTGGGATCACCTGCAATGCAGAGGGCTTTGCGGGTGAGACGGGTGTTGTAAATGTC